CTGCCTTGGATATCAACCCCATCATATGTGCCGCATAATCATCTGATTGGCAACTGACAGTTCTTAGTGTTTAAAGTATGGCTTTCAAATAACGCAAGCCGTAGTCATGATGTTCACACTGTCTGAATCACGCGTGAGTCTCGGGTAGAAGGAATGAAGCTCCAACATCTACCTTAATGAGACCAACACGGATGGATTCCGATATAGAAGCAAACGTTGGTAGCTCAGGTTGTTCAGTTGATGGTCTGAGTGTTCGCTGAGCTCGGCAGTTTGACTGCAAGCGTATCTTCACCACTCGAGGTGGCATCAGTGCGAGTTTATTTAGCAGAGCGGCGCGTACCAAGCGTCAGTGAGTGTGAGTGAATTGTCTGTAGACACTTCAATAAACCGACGTGTTGAAATAAATGCTATATGTACAGCGCTACGGATGAAAGATAAGCGAATTAGTAGATTAAATCTAACGGACCAGAACGCCAGACAACTACATCAAACGATGACAACCAAAGAGGCACGGGCGCGTACACTACGAGGTGAGAAGCAGAGATCGATTACGATGGTCATCTGCACGTCGAACAACCCAAACTCAGACTAGCGGCTAGAAGATCGATCACTCACACTCACTGACGCTTCGTACGCGCCGCTCTGCTTAATAAACGCGCATTGACGATGTCAGCTCGAGTGGTGATGAAAGTTTTGCAGTCAAATTGCCGAGCTCAGCGAAAACTCAGATCACCAGCGGACGGGTTCCATTTGCGTGAATCTTGCACGATCGCTTTCGTAAACTCCACTCTACACGCATGCACCCGCATCATCCGCTGACTGATCTAACCGGACTCCTTGGCGGAAATTGATGAGGATGAGATATTTGAAGGTACCAGCACCAACGTCGGACGCGGCACACTTCCATAGTTACCATGATCCTGTGTTGCTACGGTATCTATGTTGCGGCGTTCAGTGAGACACGGACCAACGAATGCAGTAAATCGTGTTAGCGGCATGCTGATTACTCTTCGAACTTGATTGGGAATGTAACTACACCAGTAAAGGAGGATGGCGTAGGCTCACCCATGTCCACAGGACTGATTGGATATTTGATGGGGCAACTGAACAATAATTTATAACGGGTAAAGAAGCAAATACTTGACTAGTATCTCGGGATGGCTAGAGTGAACAGTACAAGATGAAGGTGCAAAGTCGATTAAATAGGACGCATGTTGCAGGACGCACTATTACGTTTGCAATAGTGCAGATGAAAGTGTTTCCACCTGAAACTAAAGGTTAGTCTGATGCCGTCCACTGTTTGTTCTACGCTAACGTCGTTATTCGATGGGCAAGGGCTATATCACGTGCTGTAAATGTGCCAGTGTGTCGTTAAGCCGTCTTCCGAAGCATGGTGTAGGAGCCGAATGGATGCTGTCTGAGGGCGATATCACTCAGCCTATGCCTTGGAGGAGATAAACCTGCAACCTCTGGTGGAACATGTGGTATCGCCATTCGATATTAAATTTACAGGATGGCACAGTGTCACTCTGAGTTATCCTCTATGTTACAGTCAGTGTCGAAAGCTAGCCAGCAGTTTCCGATGGGTACTTTCAACTAAGGCGTCAGGAGTAATGCCTTGATGGAGACAGGCTTATCTGTTTTTTAGTATATTGTCCAAACCTATGGGAATAGGGACGGACTACTTGCACGATGCTACACATGACTTGATGACTACGAATACTCCTCCCTCTTCGGATGTAGGTGCTGGTACCAGCTGGGCACACCCATGGACTGAACACTCTCAGCTATCCGAGTGTCAAGGTAAGTCTGTGTGACATTCTCTATGTACTCATGATGCCTTAAGAGCAGAAGGAGTCATGAACCAGAAATCACCGGTGTGCATACCTGCTTTCCTAAGCCCACTTAAAACTTTGCTGCTACTACATCGTACATAGTTGCTATACGGGAGTTTGTGGCTTTGCGGGTCAAGTACATCTTCAATGTTCATAACTTACGTGACAATGCAAGATGAGTCACGCTGTAGCGCAGTTTCCTCATAAGTCATGGTAGTCCTTTGTTGTCATCCATGGCCTAGCGCCATAGGCCTTTGCATAGGGGCATAAGCAGTTGAAGTTGAGAAAACATGAGTTCGTTTCCTGTTGGGATTCACAGGGTGCACGGTACTGACAAGACCTGAGCGGACGTAACCGAAGCCTAGAGCTTTTCCAGATATCTGACTTGTAGCCCTTGCAAAAAAACGTCGTTGAAATACCGAAAATCACGTGCTTACAAGTAATCAAAGATTCGCTATTACAATCCGGTGAAACTTGAATGCTTTCTACCTTGCTTGTCGGGTAGCTGCACGGGCTGGAGTATGCATTGTTGGCACGCCGTAGCGATACTGGCCTTATTGCTTCAGGCAATGTTTTGCGGCACCACACAATGTTGCCCCTAACTATCACTACTGAGTACAGCGTCGGGTACTCAGGTTGTAAGCCGTCAGTTGGATTTGACAGCAGAATTGAGATTTTCGAACACTTTCATGGGAGAAGAGTGTAAACTGTAGCAATGTACTCAAGTGCGGTAGATTACTAGTGCGGTGTAGCTTTCGATATCGATTGCCTCGTCGCGTCAGTAGTGCATACTGGGCAATGCTAATAAGACAGTCCGAATGATGCGTTGAACATCACCAGAAGAAAGAAGTTAATGACTTACTGAAGTTGGACAGACGACAATATTACCATAAGCGAGGACTATGAGAGATGTTCGAGTGCACATGTCGGGAGCACTAATGCTATTACGATGTGTTACTTTTCGATGATGACAGAACCAAGCAGCACAAAGTACAGTAAGGTGAAGTGAACGACGCCGTTATTGGACAAAGAAACTGTCATACTGAAGGCCTATGGATAACGGGGATGAAGCGTGGTCACCTGCCGAAGCTCCATGTGCCTTACTGCAAGGTAGAATGCACGTGGATATCAGAGCAAGAGGGTACTGATTTGAACGACACCGTTGTATTGCCAACATCCAGGGGTAAACGAGGTAAGTATTTTGTCAGCAACAAACTTGAAGCCTGTATGCAGTGCTGTGCCGAAGTGGTGAAAGCCAATGTATGCTCAAACGCTTCGTCACTGATTTGCTGGAGATAATCTGCGCAAATAATAGCAAATTTCGCTCAGACATGAGCATAACTGCTTCGGTATTCACATTCTGTCAACCATAAGAGAAATACCAAAAAACAACCCTCGTACAAAAGTTTATGGATGTCACGTTGGTTCTCCATGCAAAAACCTTTACTTGAACCTGGTGAAGTTGCTGACTTTCAAAGTCAGCAACGGCAAAAATAATACAAAATACGACACATGCGTGACTTGTTATAGCATAACATTGCCAATCGAGTCATATCTACTCGATTGCCTTGTTTAACAACACTGATACTGTGTTGCTCAGTACTGGCTATTAGTCCAGGTTGTACTCCTAATGCCCCGTAACATCTACAACTACTACAACGGTGAATTGTAGCATTCACTCACTCACTCAGCTCTTCACTACGAAAGAATGTAACTGAAAAGCAAACACTTCTCCTTAAACAATGCGTCAAAGTGCACCGGGCACAGGTATATCTCCGTGCTTCCCATTCAATCCGGAACCATGCTCATCAGCGTGACTCAACCAAGCAATCGTGACCGAGCAACTGGGAAGCTGCTTGGATGAGCAGATTTTATCACCTAAATGCGTCGGCGAGCACTCGATCCAGGCTTGTGAGATTCACCAGTGGAATGCAGGAGGAGGCGGGTGGCTGTTCGGTGGAATTCCACCAGTCTGCCATCTGAATCGAGGACAAGAAAATGTTTCTTATAAAGTCTCCGGTGTGTAAGCGGATTTAAATGCATACCATTTGCATCCAGTGCGGATGCCCACTTTGTTGTTTCCATACACACGTAAATACGTAACTTATTGAGAGATTTAGTTATCCCGCAGGCAGCAATCTCATCAACAGATATCGAATATTGTGTTCGTCGCAATCAGCCGACCATTCGGATAAGTCAACTGTCTCTGCGGGAAAGCACCAGACGGTCGTTTCGCCCTATTGAGGCTCGTCAGTTGTGCGTATCCTTGGTTACTCTACGGAGGATGCGCACCACTGACTAACTAAAGTATTGGAGCTTTTGTGCGGAATACTGGTGGAAATTTACCCACCCCAGTGCTCTTTAAACGGACTGGTAATATATTCACTGGATCCCTGGGCTTAGTTGGGTTTACCACTGCTCATTATGCTAACAAGTTACCACATTCGAAAACGAACTACGGCCGCGTGGGTCCAATTTACTGCCACGACAGCTCCTTGATCTCTCTCACTTTCGATATCCCCCTCCCCCTCTCTCTCTGCGTCTTACACAATGGATGAATCAAGAGACACTATATATATATATATATATATATATATATATATATATATATATATATATATATATATATATATATATATAGTGCCTCTTGATTCATCCATTATGTAAGACGCAGACGTTCTTCCAAAAGTCCACACGCGGCCAACGGGGCAGCCAGTTTGACATTCATGAACTGGGAATTGTTAGCATGAGTCCTTCCGGCACTGGAGGTCAAACATATGCTTGTGTGAATCACTCTGCCACCATGGATGCGATCGAGTTCACTCGTTCATCACCATGATGCCCCTGATAGATAATAACCTGATGACATCCATGAATCATTCGGAGAAGTGTTACCCCTCTACTGCAACTTCAGTATCATTCATACGAAAGAAACTTAATCACAGAATTCTCATCACAAAATTCAAGGACAGACGGATAGTTTACATATCACAGCCACAGAACACAACAGTTAGCTGGTAAAAGCTCTGCACAATTGTCATAGAAAAAGAGAGCATTGGGTTGTCTCTGACAGACGAACAGCAAAATAGCCGCTCACTAGTTTTCCACCATCCACATCCAATCAGGTCGATCGTGGTCTATAGGATGCTGGATGCCAACACTCACCTGTCATATACGGTGACTGTAAGTTGCATGCAAGTTTACACATGCGAGAATAAGAAGGTGCACCAACACTTCCTAGAAAGATCTGATTCCCGCTGCATTAGCAGCCAGAATATTCAACCTAACGCAGACACTGCAACATATTCCACCTCTCGAAAAAGGTAGCCGAAGTATGTGGTCCAACTCAAATTCATCTTCGGCACTATTTTCGTTTCTTCATTAGTCTGCCCTCTCTACAGATCCCCATAGATATACGAAGTAATTTGTGTTGCCAACTACCTTTAGTACTTAGGTCAGCCACGTGTGTAAATTATCGCACAGACCGACACGCTACATAACCTCAACTCTTTCACAACAAGTAAGTGTAGTTACGCAACCTTGATCCGAACACAGAATTGCCGTGGACCCACTCAATTCGACTCGCATTCCCAGGAGTAGAGCATGTAGCAATGATGCGGGAAAGGAATCAGTACCTACGTGCTGATGAGAAGAAGCAATTTTCACAACGACGATGCCCCAGTTTGCACTTCTTAGATTGCTCAGAAAACAAGCCATGGTGGCGATTTTCAGCCTCTTCCTCACCCACCTTATCCACCTGATTTGACCCCTACTGACTTCCACAAATTTCTAAACATGACCGACGCTATAACTGCTCAAAATTTTCCCACGATAATAACTTCTCTGAATCCGTAGAGGAATTAATAGGTTTACCATTTGAAAGTTCTCTTCCATTGGGATAAAGGAGCTTTAGCATCACTGGAGCAATTGTGTTGCGCTTGAGGATGATTAGTTTGAAAAATAAAAGCACTTAAAACTAGGTATCTCGTTTTTTACGTTTCAAAACTGTTCTTTCACTCCCCCTAAATGGGACGCACAGGATGACAGTGAAGTGGGCAAAGTCAAGCGGAGCAGACTGCTAACGGCTAAATGTAGGCAACTGAATGCAACAGCGCCTCTGACTACACGAATGCACAATGTCCCATGAAGTCCCCAAACACCCACGTTGATGTCAGGTGCCACCTTGCAAAAGTCCCCAGATCAATTTGTTTTGGACTCTAGGCAAGGTCAGCTACTAATAATTTCGTGATTTCATCCAACTATAGATACGGTGACAGCCTACATGCACAGCAATGAAGACTGTCAGCTGGTATATGGAAGACACGACCTTACCATCCTATGCCTTTCGAATGTAACAGTCAAGTTAGACACCAGGATGTTTGCTTCTAGCCACCAACTGGTGAGACTGAGTTTCGCACCAGGTGTTTGCAGTACCACACAAGCTTCGGTGATCAAACACGGTTACTATTTACATGTCTTTAGTACAAAGTGGTTTGGAACCATGGCACAATGTTTTATAAAGGGTAAAAAGTACAGGCTTAACATGCTCCGTAGGTAGGTAATAGAAGCAATTGCAGTTGAAATTGGAATAGCAAACCAAATAAAATACCCTCTGTTGAAGCGATAATGACGTATAGAGAGAGGGTTGTGGGCGTGAGATTGCGCCAGGCAAAACGAAATTACAAATTGCTTTGGTTCGTATTTATTGTAAATAATGAGCAGGTTGTTCATCCCGCTGTAGAGATTTACCTGCGCCCCTGTTGATCAGGATTCCAAAGAGACTAGTTACTCTGAATATATCCAGAAGATCCGTTCGTGTAACCAAATATATGGCGTTCAGTTTTATATCCTATAGAATTGAAAACAGTCAAGTTGGTAACACAGACAACTGAGTTTGGAAGCGCATTCCACGGTTGGCAGACCCAAAGGCAGAGGTAATTTCGTCGACAGTCTAAACGACTGTGTTCTTGACTCAGATTCAGGAGATTGCCTCTGAGATTGGTGTTTGGTTTGTTTCGAAAGCTGGCGGCATACATGACTGGGGTCTCTCAGTAGCCGCCGGTAGTTTCCACTGTGCACTCCAAATGACTCCTTGGATTTGTTCTACAGCAATCGAGCAGATGTTTGACAGACCACCAGCTTGACCGACGGCGTTTGGATTCATCATACCAATGCAGACGTTGCAACGAACGGCTTCCGCAGATCTGACAGTCACAGTGGCAAGTGCTGGTTGCCCACGGAAAGCTGAGCCCAAAGCTTCCGAATTAAACGTTAGTTGTGGCGTAGACAGCTGTGTGAAACTTGTGCACTTCGGAATAGAAGGCAGAAACCGCCGCAAATACTTCCATTCTCTATGAGCTCGCCTCACTCTCAGTCAGATAAAAGAAAGCTTAATAGTACGACTGATTCGCTCTGGTTCTGTACTGAGGGCACCTCTGTTCCATTCGTCAGATGTGTAACTGTGTTGGCGCAGAAGTACCATAATCTAACAAAGATTGTGGAGCAGGCAGAAGCCGTGAAAGCGGTCCCACATGAGCCAGACAAATTAGTGCCTCGAACTCAATGCTCAACGTCAAGCTCCAATTCAGCACAGTGTAAGATTAATGATCCAGAGTTAGCCACCCAGACACCAGCGTCTGCTCATAAAGATGAGTTCGTCGCACATTCTTTAACAGAATCACCCGCCACACTAAGCATTGTTAGAGGGCCGACAACCTACCCTTCCATTGTTGCTACCTATGTGACGGAGGCACCTCCCATTGCAACCCCGTCCGCTGACAAACGAGTTACTACTGCCAATACCACCACCGGACTCAAGACCCCATCACTTGTCCAACCGAAGAAAGTAATCACTGGTCCCACCAAAAATGAGAACATGAAACACTACAATAATTCTCTAACTGTTATATGTTCTAGTGTGACTGAATCTCGGGCAAATTCCATAAAAATAAGATACTAGACGACAAATAACAGTTGGACTACCTGTGTCAACTAATAGAGGTTCAGGCTAAACCAGTCAGTATGATGCATCTCGTCCGTCACTCAAACTCTGTACACTGCGATGAACCGCGGTTACTCCAGGTAACACATCAGTCAGGCCATCATGCAGAGGCAGTTCTCTTGTCAGACACTCGCCTCCGTACTACCACATGCACTGTTCGAATATTTCCAGATGTTCCTTAGACTGAACGCCAGAAACGCAAACAAAATCCGGATAACCTGCAAACAACAAGACGTGAAATCTATCTTTGTGCAGGGTGTCCCCGAGCTCCAGTCACTAAGCGAGCTAGAGGTCAAAACGCATGACTGGGATGAATGGCGTTTTATTCGTGAAGTACTCTAACTCGAAATTGTTATCGCAAATTCGCCATCAAGGTTACCGCTATCACCTAACTACAAAGGGTGTGATCCGTGAGTGATGAAAGTATCACTGCACTCCGAAATGATGGCAGAACATGTGATCAAAATGTGGTACAAAGAGCGTAAAATGCTGCCATCCGAAATACGTATAAAGGCAATGGACACCGGGCCACAGATAGACAATGTAACACTGAGCAAGCAACTTGCCAAAACAATTTTGTCATCGTGTAGCTCAGGACGGGAACAATGCCAAGACACACCGACAGCTGTAGAAGAACAGGATGGTTACCTTCTTGTTGGCGCTGAGAACTCTATACAACAAACTGACCAGACCCTAGGGCCTGCGTCATCGGTCCTACAAAAAACGACCGGCAGCCGACCCCTCAAATGTCGGCATAGACCCTCACTGGAAACCAGTATTCATAAACACGCTTCTGCCCAATGATGCCCTCGGCTGTTTGTATACCAATGCACAAAGTCTTCTCAGCAAGCTAACCGAAGTTTGTATTCGTCAGGTCTCCATGCCTTGGGACCTAGTTATGGTTGCCGAAACATGGCTGACCACGGAGAGCACGGATGCTGAGATTGCACTACCCGGCATGACTTCCATAAGAGACGATCGACCTAGCAGAGGAGGGGGATCGCTTCTGTATTATCGACCCGACCTGCATGTTTATGTCATTGGTGACGCAGAAACGAAAGTCGTCGATTCTCTTTGTTGTCGCACGCACCTAGGATGTGGTGATGTGTTTTTACTAGCAATAGTTTACCACTCTCCAATGTCCACCATGGAAATCGATCAAAGCCTAGCTTTGCGATGAAACGAGTCCTCACACGACCATACAGTCACGTCCTACTAGTGGGGGACTTCAACTTGCACGCAGTCGAAGTTCCAGCATCGCACAGGCAAAAATGCAAAGCTTATTTGCAAGAGGTGATCGCCGATGTACCTCTGTACAACCATGTCACCTCTCCCACGTGATTCCGAACGGGTGACACCCTCTGTTTTGGACCTTGTACTCTCAAACGAGGAACTAACCGTCGACACCGTGACCATAGATGCACCACTTGGCCGTAGCGATCACGCATTGTTACTCTTCCGTTACATCTGGTACTCGGAGTGCACCAGTGAGAACAACGTGGGAACCTATGTCGTTACACATTACGATATACTGTCCAACCTCGTTCAAGAAACCGACTGGTCCTTCCTGGCCGAGAAGCCGCCTGATGTTGCCTGGATGTTGTTCGTTACCCAATTCACTGAGCTAGTGGCAAATGCGTCAGTACGCAAGGTCCTTCGCTCGAAGCGAGTGAGTTGGTTCCTGAGGAGTCGTACTTAAAAATGCTTGGCGTTAATCGATTCCGCCTGGCGCGCTTACGAAGACTGTCCGAGTAACCTGGCCTGAGGTGCTTACAAAACTCAAAGAAACCACTGCGTCAAGTTGGTCCGCGAAGACAAACTCCAGCATCAACAGATCTTAAAGGCGAAATTCAGTACAGATCCCAAGTTGCCGTATAGACACATCAACAAGCTCCGCAGAGTGCTGCGCGGGATCCAGGTGTAGGTGCAACAGATGGTCTTACGCTAACCGCACAAGATGCAGCCAAAGTGCTTCGCCAACACTACATCCATACTTTCCGGAGTGAACCATCATTTCATCCGCTTTTTACACAGCTTCCATCGCCACCAGGATTAAACCACGTATCATTCACGGCACCCGGTGTGATGAAAACGTTAATGTCATTGCGCGTGCACAGCTCACCTGGTATGGACGACATCAAACCGAACGCCTTGAAGACAGCGACCATGAACCTTGCCAACCATTAGCTCAGT